TATTTCTCTCTCTTTAAATATTTCCACGTGGTCCTTATGGATATCCAATATGGATTACCTACCATGGCTATGGTATCAACAGCTTTAACAACACCCAGGCCTCTTGTTCTTTATCGAGTGACCAGAGATTTAAGTGCCTACCAGCACTAAACTAGCAATCACTTGGACAAGCCTTTGGCACCCTTCCAAGAACTGGAAAAAAAGGAATACTTGGCCGCAAGGGAAGTGCCACGTAAAGATATGTTTCTCAACTCATTCCAACAGCAAGAAGACCCCATGGAACAAAGTTCGACCTCTTTCCCCCTCGGTGCGACTGGTCTGATTTCCCCGGCGGGGGGGGAGGGTCAAGGACAGCCAGAGGGTGTTCCTATCTAGCCAGGAATGTTATGGAGCTCTGGAGCTGTTTTAAAGACTGGAAGCATTTGGGCATTTTCAAGTCAACTGGCCTTTTTCATTAAAGTTTTCATTTAAAGCCCCAACAGTGCCAGGAGTCTCCATTTTGCCTGTTTTCGGAGGCACCTGTAAGGTCTGGGAAAGTTTCCAATGTCTGTGAGCTGGAGAACATGAGAGGACCAGGAAATGACAGTAACATCTTTCTCTTCCTCAGCTTCTGCTGTGGGAGTCAATAACTGGTACTGATACACAGGACATCGATCTGCCTGTTCGGAGATAGGGAGGGAGTGGAGGAGAAATGAGGTAACGCTAAGTGTCATCCAAACTCTACGTGTTGGAAAATCACTTGAAGGAAACTCCCTGCTCCCCTCCATAACACGTGGATCTGGCAGGGGTAACGAGCCTTCAGGAAGCGTTTCACTTACACCCTTTCTGGCTCAGTAAGGTCACGGATGTCGATGTTGAGGACTGAACGAGAACCAAGTCTGAGGTTTCTCTTTTCATTAACCTATTTCACAAAGGACCCTCCTGGGAAATCCAGAGACTCTGATGACAAGGTGAAAAAAAAAAGAAAAAGCAAGCTAACAACTTCTTCCAAAGACAAGTAGGGCTTCACTAAATTTCTACAAACTTACTGCCATTCAAGGCAAGACAAAGCCTCAAACAACAAATTATACTGGGTGCCTGTTCACTGTCCCCTTTGCAAAAACGGTGGCACTTGATTATTCTCTTTCAGTCCAAAACACTCGTGAATTCTCCGTGATCTTTGTTTTCTGTTGTGGAGCCCAAATCCTTTAAGCTCTTCTCCTCAACTTAAACTTCAGCAATCTCATTCTCTTCTCACCTGCGTGACAACAGGCATCGTCCATTCCACAAGTCTCTGACCTGCCCTGCAAAACTCACAGTCCCTTTTCTTTCCTACTCCAAAAAGAAAAACAAAACAACAACAAAACACACAAACACCAACATAGCTAATTTTTTTTTGTTTTTTTGTTTTTTTTACAGTGACCTGGAAACATTCGTCTTTTCAGCGCTGCTGCGCAACAGCAGAATCTCTCCTTTCGGCTTCTCACCTTCTGCCCATTGCCGAGCCAGAAATCCCTCTCCCAAACCATTGCTCAGAGCCATACGAACGACTTCTCGGTCCCAATTCTTCCATCCCCTACACACACACACACACACACTGATTTTCCATCCTGCCCTCTGTGGGCCTCTTGGGATAATTCACCCATTCCCAAGAGAAAGCATCAAGTTTCAGGGTCACATTCACACAGGTTGTCTGAACACTGAGGGTTGTACACTGTACTCTTTGGATCCCAACTTCAGCGCCTGACATACTGCGGAGAGGAAAAGACTTTTCCAGCTCCCATCCGACCTCTCCATAGCCCTTCTCCGGTCAAAGACTGGTGAGCCCAGCTCTCCAGCTGGGATGTTCACTGCTAACCTACCAATGCTTTTGTCAAAGAGGAGGCTCTGTAACTTCTCTCCTCCCGTCTGAACACCATTGCCCTCTAGTTACACTTCAGTGCTTTAAAAACATCTTTCTGAAATACTCTGCACAAACCCCTTCTCATAGTGCTGATCCCAGCAGAACTGTCCCACCTCCTCACAGCCAGTTCTGCCTCCACCTGGTAATACTTGCAGCATTTTTCCTCCTCATCTCCCCTTCTCCTCCCCATCACACAGCTCTTCACAGCATTTACTGTGCCCCCCTCCCTTCAGCTTCAGGGAATCCAGGAAAAAAAAAAAAAAAAAAAAAAAAAAAAAAGAGCCACTACTTCAAGACCGCGGATCATTTGGAAGAAATAAACTGCATAAATATACCCAATTCACAGGCACACCTTAGGGAAGGAGCTATCAGGAAACTTGGGCTTGGAATACAGGAGGCTGCAATGTAGGTTTTTATAGGCCACACAGGTAATGGGGCATATTAAAATATGTAAAATATATGTATTTTTCCATATTTTAACAGCATGGATTGAAAACAAAAGGGTTATTCCTAATGGGTGTGGTCAGACCCAAGCATTAGTCTCCATCGTCCTCCCGCTCCCACCCACTCATAGCAGGATGAAATCTAATCGAAAAAGCCTATATCCCTGCCCTCGTAATATCAGATGGAAGTGGGGAAGGTAGGGGAGACCCTTCTTAAAGGGAGTAGGATGCCACTAAAGGAAACTCTTTTTGCCATACATTCATCTCACGTGATGATTTCTACGGTCCATCTGTTTCCTGGCTCTTGAGCATCATTCACAAAGACTCCGGAGGCTCCTCAAGTATCTTCTCCCAGCTGGAAAACTGCCCACAGCTGAGAGGGGTTTGGGGAGGCAGGGGGAAGAAGGAAGCAGATCTTGCAATTTGTACTGCATACAGAGCTCAAATCCTGGACACGAGAGGTTGATGGAGCCACCGAGTCCAGACAGAAGCAGCCAGTTAAGTTCCCTTTGTAGGTTTGGGTTTGTTTGTTTGTTTTTTTTTCTTTTTTTCTATTTTTTGCACTTTTGGAAGAGAATTGTTAAAATGCCAATTCTTGACGTGACCAAGGATTCCGGAACAATGCATAAGAGCCTTTTCCCCTCCCTTCTGAAAGGCTGCTAGTTCCCCCCACCGAGGGCACTAGGACGCTGCTGAAAACGGCACAGAACTGGATGAGATTTCGGCTGATTTCACAATGGTGATGACACTGGTGGTGGCAACTTTGGTCGGGGTAATAGGCCCTCGCGCCACAGTACGAGCAAAGGTCTGGAGTGCTTCGTACTTGGAGCGCAAGGCGTCCAGCTCTAGCTTCATGCTGCTGTTTTCTCTGGCCAGCTTCTCCACTTCTTGCTGCAGCTCAACCCGCTGCCTCTCGAGCTCCTCTTTCTGAGTCACGCGCTTGATGCGGCAGCTGGCAGCGTAGCCCCGGTTCTTCAGCGTGCGCCTCCGCTGCTTCAGACGGATGACCTCCTCTTTGGTGAGACCCCTCAGGTGCTGGTTCAGCTCCCGTACGGACATTGACACGAGTTCATCATCACTCAGCACTGGGGCATTCTCTCCTGACTCCTCCTTTACCTGCAAATACCAACAGCACAGGGGTAGCAGCAACCCTTACGCAAACCGCTGTTCTGGACAGTGAAAAGAGACAGGCCACCCCACAGCAACGTGACACCCCTACCTGGAAAACACCCCCGAAGCACGGTAGGGAGCACATGCTCCACTAAGACATCTGGATAAAACATGACAGAGATCTGAGCACTGCTGTTGTCTGGGTTTGGGTAACCCTCTTAAGTCGGAGAAAACAGTGAGCCTTACACACCCAGGATGAACTGAACAGCAAGATTTTTAAGGAGATAAATGTAAAGCAGACTGAAGCCCTTTGCATTCCTTTGCCAGGACCCAGAATTCATACTGAACGCTAAAGATGACACCTTTTCCCAGCATTATGCTGGGACACCAGTACAGCATCTCAAAAGCAGAACAGCCACTTGTATGCAGGGTTTAATCAACATTTTGTGGCTTTTCATTGAAGACTGCTCATCCAAGTAGTAAACAAAACCAACCCTGCTTGGCTTCAAGGACCACAGCCTGATTTGGGTCTCCTTGTGCACGGGCCAGACTCTGAAGTTACACGAGAAAGACACCAAGGCCTTGTGCCTTTTTCGCAAGCAGGTTTGCTGCCACAATTATTTTCAGAATCATAGAATCATTTAGGTTGGAAAAGACCTTTAAGATCATTGAGTACAGAACCTTTGAGCCATCATCCTTTTGTCTCTTCAGAAACTGCAGATCTGGAATGAAGAGCTAAGACACTGGAAAGAAACTGCAACAACGCATGCACAACCCATGCGCCGACCGCCACCAAGCTGGTACGTCCGAGGCATTTACTGTCTCACAGATCTGAGAGACACCAGCTGAACACAACCTTTCCCTGGTGCCTCCCGGTCCTTAGAGTAGAAGTACTTCATTGACAGGCCTGGGAGCACTGGTTTCAGGATGCTGCCAATACCTGCTACAGTCAAAAGTCTCGTGATAGCAACTGGGATACTCTAGTCTCCACACCATCCCAGAGACTTTAGACTTCTTTCTGGGTATCACCGGTATTCTTCTACCCTAACCTTTTCTGTAGATAGCGGGAAATTGTATTGGTACCCATTTATAAGAGTCTCTCAGAATGAAAAAGAACAGTCATGTACGACCGACGTCGCATGGAGCATGGTTTTGCAACAGCCCCCCCCGCCACCCAGCGTCACCCACTTGGCCTTCTTCCCTACCTTTAATGCCTTGTTCGGTTTGGGATTAGTCGTCATAACCTGAGCACAGTCTTCTGGACAAAACCGCTCAGAAATTGCAACTGGAAAAACAAAACAAGATTTTCAGGTTACAGTAATCTCGGAGATGAAGGTAGGAAGAAGATACCCAACACACAGTCCAAACCTCCAACTCAACCACCATTAAAAGAAATAACCACACAGTTGTTTAAAACACTGCGATGGATTCAGAGATCAGTTTACCCCACTCATCAGATACAAGAAAGAGAAATCTGTGTTGATAAGCGCATTGCTGTTTAACACTAAAGACCTCATACTTTGCTATTAACTATACTAAGATTAAGCAACGAAGACAGGGCAGGGAGGGGGGAAAGGACACCGGCTCCCGTCTGTAAACAACAGTGACCCTAACCACCATACACCGCCTTGCGATACGCCATCCCTTCTCACGGGGAGCGCAGAGTGCGGCCGCCCAGGCCCAGTCACCTGCTCACCTCCCTCCGGAGGAATCCCAGACGCTCAGAATGGCCTATTAGGGACTGAATTAAGAGTTACCTCCGCTCATAAAAGGCACTGAAAAGCCACAAGACAACAACTCCCTTCATTCTTATTTTGCTTATTATTACCCCGGCTCGAAATTGAATCAGCAACCCAGAAAGAAGCTGCCTGGTTTGTAACCTGCTTTCAGTGCCGTCCCCACCCAAAGGAGACACTACCAGAAAGCCCAAGCAACAGAAACAAAAGCCCCCCGATAACAAAGCAAGGCAGGAGTTCGCCTCTCCCAACGCACCAAGACTGTTGCTTCCCAACGCTCTTGGCCTCTCCAGGCTGTGAGAGCCGACCTGCCTGATATTTCTAGTGACGTGGAGGCATGTCCACCGACAGTTTCCCCTGCCGAGACGCTGCCCTTCACTCTCACCTTAGCCGGCGACTACACCCCTTCGATCAGCGCCTTGCAGAAAATCCACCTGCCCGCACCTCCACCCAAAACCTTCGCCCCGCGGTGACGGCAGCACGGCGGTCCGTCGGGTACCTACCGCGAGAGAGGCG